TAGATGAAAATAAAATTAAGAATGCCTTATTTGTTTTACTACTTTAGACAGTGCTTTCTATATTGCAGTCATGTTTGCATACATACTCATTGATGCAAATGCAGTAGTGCAACCAATCCTAGGGGATGGATTTCCCTTTGGTGGGTGGTGGATAAAAATACCACAATACTTGTTTGGTAAAAGCGTCACCTGAGCACTTGCCCCAGGAGCTAATTAGCGCTGGAGCACCATTTTCATACGCTTTCTCTGGGATCCGTCATAGTATCTGCTATCGTGCTTCGTCAGTTCCATTAAACCACTTGGAATTGTCGAGGAATCTATTTAAGTTAGTAATGGATCATTTGGAGATCTCCATAAGCCGATTTTTGAGTGTCAAAGAGCTCAGGTGTTCGTCTTTCAACACAACGCGACAAAATGTCTCAAAAATAATTCTTGCAAAGGCGGAGCAGAAGCACAAGATGTCAGCAGTCTAACAAGTCTGCTCAGTGCGAACAAAAAACTGGCTAGACCTTTCCTTCTGAGATTGAAGGCAATATAAGTTTTGTCCCTCGATGCCTCCCAGTCATGGCTGAGCGAAATATTCACCCAGTTTCTGATGTTGGCTTCGATAGCCCGAAGATAGAAGTGCTATAACTGGTTGCGGGGCAACGAATGCCTGGTCTGAGCCACCTCTGGCCAAATGGTCACATGTCTCATTACCAGTTACTTCCGAGGGAACTGGCACCCAGAATAAGTCAATCTTTTTTATTTTTACCAACATAGTTTAGTTGAGACTTGCATTCCGCCACTAGTTTGGAAGTACTTAGTAGGCGGGCCACTGTCTTAAGTGCAACTGGGTTGCCACTGCAGATACGTAAACTCATTTCACTCCGCCTATTTTCTACAACGTATTCCATGGTCTTGAGGATTAGAAATACCTCAGCGTGGAAGACTAAGCATACTGCCCAAGAGAAAAGTGAAGCTTATCCCCATTAACTTCGATAAAGACCCCAGATCCTGACCAAGAGTGGGTTTTGAAGCCATCAGTGAAGATTCGACAATGTGTGAGTCCGGGCTCGGTGCTGGTATTAAACCAACATTCAGCTTAGGAAATTCAACATTATAGAATATCTTCAACAAAGGTAATGGTGGCGTACTATCCTGTGACATTGAAAAGACACAACTGCCCGGATCTCTACCGCCAGCAATTTTCGCCTTACCCTACTTAGTGTTATACCATAATAAGTTTCGTTTTAGTCTTCAGGTGGCTTTTAAGGCTTCCCCACGTATGAAGACACAAAGTGCAGCAGTGCATCAAGAGCAGCGCCAGGTGTTGTAGAGAAATCTCCCTTAGAGGAAACTGCAAGCAGACTTCCCATGCTATTGATTGAGAGTCTGCTCCACCATACCACTGACGCATAGCTGATTGTGGGTCTGATCATAGAGGTATAAAACCAGAGGATTCCCTTCGGTGACATACCCCACTTTTTGCCAAAGAACTGTTTATATTGCCAAAATGCTGCCAATGTTTTGGAGGTTTTGCATTCCACGTGAGATTTCCACGACAGTTTTGTATCTAGAATTACTCCGAGAACCTTCACTTCGGCAGAAATCTGTGAGGGGAATTCGATCATCCAACATTTTCCTTCTAGTGAAGAGCACAACACTAGTTTTGGTTGAGTTAACGGTGAGCCCATTTCCATCACAATAAGTATCAATCATATTCAGTATTGTCTGCGCTTTCCTGCAAACAAGAGTGACAAGAAGATAATGAGTTACCATGCACCAGAGCAAAGCGGAAAGCACATCTCCCTGAGAGCAGCCCTTGTTAACACTGAACTTGACATATTGACCTCCTTTTGCTGACTTTGTTACCAGTGAGACAAGTGCCAGAAATGCCGCTTGTCTATCTGCGAAAACGTATGCATTACGTACTCTTTCTTAGTTTCTCTATAATGCACTGATTCCTAGCACTTCTACTTGAAAGGTGCTATGAAAGTTCGGTAGTCGGAACCAGAGAGACCAATTCAACATCTCAGAAAAAACACCCGCGCTCCCAGCATAGTGGAGTTAGGCTTACCTCTAACCACAAATTGAAAATTTGCTTTAGAGTGAGGGTAAACACCAGGTGGGTCGCAAAACCCAGGACGAAAAACGATCTGAAGCTCTCACCGTCCGTCTTCCCTCTCTAATGCTAGTAGTTGATGGTATAAATGCAGAGACGAAGAAGAAGTAAAGAGCATTGGACACCATCTCTGCCATTTTTTTATAAGTACTTTATAAATTGTTTAAACATCTCAAATTCAGCTAGTATTTGCGTGTTTTTGCGCTATAGAAAGCGTAAGATCATCTACATATCGATGGCTGAGTGGAAGATCGACGTATCTCGGTAGGCAGTTCGAAAACGCTCTATCTCAGAAAATTTTTCAACAGCGCCCTATTTCAGAACTTTATTGAAAAACACCCTATCTCAGAATTTGGTTGAAGAACACCCTATCTCAGCTGCCGATTCAAAAACACCCTATCTCAGCATATTTTCAATATATTTTCGTTTAAGATAGGGCGTTATTGAACCGAGTTCTGAGATAGACAACAACAACATAGGGTGTTTTTCAGGTACGTAGATATATACATATATATAAGCATAAATAGTATGTACTTATGTATTTAGCTTTAACTCTTGAACTCTAAATACCACAGCATTAACGAAAGCAAAAAAAAAACACAAAATATAACTCAAACGTAAATTACTTTCACAATCCACCCACACTAATGCAAATAACCAATCAAATAAACGATTTCGATTTTTCGATTTCCTTAGCAAACAGTCCAGCAGAGTATGGTCAACTTCGAGTCAGCGCGCCTATAAATATGCTATATGTTAACTGCTAGTATGTTCGCATGCATCATCAAATGTGTTTTACTCTATACATACATACATATTTACGTATAAATACGGTATATGTAACTAAGCTTTAACATAAAAACCATCCATCATATGGACGTTTTCCAATAAGTGTACTAAAATATTTTATTCTATTTATATATAAAGTGAAGGTGTTAGTGTAGGCGAAGATGTAGCACACAAAAAAAATATTTGAGAAGTATAGCTACAAAAAATTGTGAATTTAAAAGTATGTATAACCAACAGAGAGCGCTTCATAAATCATGGCGATGGCATGCGCCTAAAAGTATGCCTACTTATTCGAAGGCACGCAAATACTTGCACATGCATACATATATGTATATGTATTAGGATTGTACTCAAAGCATCAACTTCATGTTTTACGTATAAAATAAAAGCAACCACGAAATTGTCAAATTAAAAAAAAAATGGGTCGATGGAAGCTTTTGAAAATATTTTGAGTCTCTACTAGGATTAAAAAAATTAATTTTTTTAGATTCTTTTTAAATTCGGCAAGACTTCGATCAGCTATAACTCAGCGTGTTTTAGTTTTTCTCACTGACGTCAGCATTTTTTTATTTAAGGGCTTTGAAAATTGAAATTTCAAAAAATTATTATAAAAATTCTGTGCAATGCTGAAAAACAGTATGCCTATCAAATTAACGAAAAATTCTGTTGAATTAAGGCCGATTAAATTTTTTGGTGCATAAGGACGATTAGGTATTGAAAATGTTCTTTTAACATTTTATCATTGAATATCCTTGAAATTTTACAATAATTATTTTTGAAAAAATTATATGTTAAGGACTAATAGATATGCACTCGATCACATCCTCGAATTTCGTAATTCTAACTTTATTGGCTTAAAAAAATAAAACTAATTAAAAGGACACTTTCAATACCTATTCGTCCTTGTGAACCAAAAAATTTAATTTTTGTTTTAATTTTATAGGGTGTTCTCTTTCATTTGGTACCCATATTGTTTTTATAAATTGGAATCAAATTTTTAAATAATTTTTTGAGTTAATCATATCACAAAGTCCTAAAAACGCAGTTTTATTATATTTATGTATATATGCTTCGTGTGTTTCAATTTTTTTTTGTTATTGTAATAAGTCAAATGCATCGGATACCAAGTCAAAATTTAGCCCACTTTTTTGAGACTTTCCAAAAAAGTTTAAATTTTTTGAAAACCTATTTTTTTTTTTAATATTAAAATTTTCCTTGATGTTTTTATTTGGACATAAAGCGGTGTTCCATACAAAATTTAGTTGTTGTTATTTTAAGTACCACCCTAACATGTATATTTTATTTCATTTTGGTGTGGCTTTCAGTGCCTAAACGTGTAACTTGTAGCCCAGTCGCACTATCGTGGGGAATTAAATTTTCGAAGACCAAATGTTGCATAGCTTTAGGCGCTGAAGTACGTCAAACTTCATTTTTTACAAGCTTTTATTTATAACTAAAGTGCTTTCTCTACGGACCGAAAATAATCGTTAAATATCATGATTTTTATTTTCATGTCATTGCAAAATCGTTAAATTTGGATTTTTTTTTGCTCAGAGATATTCGTGTTTTGGGTTTTTAAGGTTTTCAATTATTTTTTAACGTTATAATGGAGACTACGTTTTTATGCCCGTTTTAAATCTTTTATGATTGAAAAAATTTAATCTGAAAATAACGGTTACAATAATAATAAACTAAATCAAAAATAGCAATTAATAATTGAACGAAAAAATTTAAATCCAATTTCACCGATTAGATTATGATTTTTATTATTAAAATCATAGCCGTTACGGTCCATGGATTTCTCAACTAGATATATGATAGGGTTGTTGGTCTAGGATTAAATTTCTGGGCAGTCAAGCACGTAGCTTAAGCTCACAAGTGCATTCATGTTTTATTGAGCTTTCTTTCACTCTTTTGTAGCACTTTTGTGAAAACGTCAACAATTTTTCATTGCATTAACACATACATAAAAAAAAAACTTTTATCTCGATGAATCTTAAATTATTTGAAATAAACTAACAACGCTGCATGAATTTTATCTATCTACCTACGAAAAAATCAAAAAAAAAAAAAACAAAAACAAAACCTATCGACGGCCTTCCTTTAGATACGCATCGTATTTCTATGTTGGCTGCCATGGATTCTGCGTATGAGTCGTCCTGGTAGGCCACTAATTTTGGAATTTCCCACTACGCCATGCTCGGACACATCATCGGAACGAAAACATCAGATATTGTCCGATGTTGAACTGAAGGAGCGGTAGGCAAAAAAGAAAAATATTACTTTTTATAGAGAATTTTGTGAATGTGTTTATTTGGAAAAAATATATACATATCTAAAACCATACTGCTTGCTAAACTTTTTTTATAAAAATTTTAAAATATTTTGTGTTACGTTTGATTTTTGTACGGTATGTTTTCCTTTTCGATTTTCAAAAATTTACCATATCAATTAAAATTTAATATTAAATGTCTCACTCTATTCAATTACACTCGACAATCATGAACAGCTCCTCGAAATCGCTGCTCGCCAATGTGCTCGACATCGATGATGATTTTCGACACAATTGCCGCCCGATGACGCCTGGCGGCACATTACCGCACAATCCCGCATTCTATCGCACCGTTTATGGGTAACAACAAGCTAAAAGCTGTTGAGAACTAAATACAAATTTGTTGTGATTTGTAATAAAGCAGAGTGTGACTGTGAGAGAAATTAATTACAGTTCAAACTACAAATTTCGCTACAAAAAAAGTTGCATACCTTCAAAATGATTTTTTTGTCTTGCATGCAAAATATAATTTTCCAACATGCAAAAATACATTATGACTTCTTCTCTGTTTTGCCACACTCTGCTATATTACTTTCTTTTAATACAATTCGCTACTAAAATATTTCTCTTGATCCTCTCTAGCCAAGGTGATGACGGCAGCATTGGTCCGATCGGTAGCACACGCATGCCGGATGCCGTTACGCATCATACGTGTATCAAATCAGCAACGGAATATGAACTAGGTTTAATTTTGAAGGAAATTCGCTTTATAACCGATCAGGTAGGTTCAAATGTTTTTAAAACTTTGGAACTTAAATACTTATTTACATATGGGTTTTAATTCATTTTTGGTAATGTTAGCATAATTTATTTTTAAATTTATTGCTTTGAGTTGGAAAATTTTATTTATTTTTTTAAGAAGAAAAAAAACGCACTCAATTGACGTTTTGGGCGCTGAAAAAAATGTGACTAGGCCGAGATGACTCCCTGAGCAATCGCAAAGGAACATGCTTTTGTTCGAGCATTCGTGGCTTTCAAAAAAAAATAAAAAATTTGCCGGATGCATTCTCAGGTTTGCTAGGCGAGTACTTTCTCTACATGGCAACACCGAAAACGAAAATTAGTTTACCTATTCCCCTAATATGTGGCGATTTTATAGACAACTTTTAGTTGTAAGCAACAATCGCCAGCTGTGAAGGGCCTGTCAACTAATCGCCTCCAATAAAGTTGGGCGGCAGCCAGCTTTTTATTTAACTAATCGCCTCGCATTTCTGAACACTATTTAAGGGGCTAATTGATCTCCAATAATACACGTATGAGACTAGTAACGACTAATTAATGTCCAATTGTACCCGATTGAGACTAATCCCGGAATACTCTCTGTCGAGATTTGCCGCACAAAATTTTTGCAGAGTGCCCTTTGTAACGGACAATTCTTGTTTTTATTAATTTTTGTTTTGATACCATCTGTATTTCTTGTTCTAACACGATACGAATCCCCATCAAATAGTTTGTAGATAGTTTTTTTTTTTTTTTTGTTTTTGCATGATACATGAAGGCTGGTCTAGCAGCGCATATACGCGACTAAATACCTATCCTGAATGAAATCAATCGATATACCACTTTTTGATCCCATTTGACAATGTATTTTCACTTATTTGACGACAAATTCCATTGAATTTGACTTAGTGAAAACAAGCCTTAAGCGACTCAGGCTGTGCTGTAATGTCACAATACCAACGGGAGCCATCTGAGCTATTTCGTAGCCTGTTATGACAAATAATGATACCTGTTACTTCCTTTAAGCTTGTACTTAAGAGAGTTGTTCACAGCTTCTAAACGCTGCTTGGTCTACCGCAGTCTATGGGCAGCCTATCCTCCTTCTTAGCTCTTCATCTTCTTTCAACTCCCGCTTGTCCTAGTTAGACTATATGTCCTATGACAAGAAATGTTCAGATCTGACTATCAACTGCTACTTCTACCGTCAGTCTAACTTCCTTCCTTGTTCATCTGTATGCATCGCTTACAAATAACAATTCATCCTAAAAGGCCGAAAGTTCATAAACGTCTTCGCCATCGGTCCTAAGACCATAAGTACCTGCATCCTTTTGATAGGTATTTAATCCGAAATATGATTTCTCAGATAATATGGTCTTCGCAAAGTTCATCTTTTTGACAACGTCTTCTCTACTGAGACGGGAGGTCGGGATTTTTGTTTCTTTTACGGTGCTCATTCTGCTTCAGATGACTTCACCTTAACTAATAAGGCTTTCCCTGTGATGGTTGTAAAGTCCCATTGGAGGTTGATGTTAGGTCGAGATAGAATCATAGGGCTGTAGTGGAGCGAATTTGGATTAATCCTGCTATACAGGTGTCTATCGGCCTCAAACGACCAACTGATATCTTTACATACTGTATGATTTTAACAAGAATTAGTTGGTAGGTGTAATTTTTTGCAGGTATCTCACTGCTCCACCCGTTTGAGCTAATTCTGAGGTATATTCTGGACAGGAGGCTAAACTGATAGCAATACCTAGCCCAGCGTCAAAAGATACTTCTATAACACGTAGTTCTTTAAGCTTTTGCATTATACTCGTGGTGTGAGTGGCGCCCCGGAAACCAACCCACATTGTGATCGAAAATATGCGAGCTTTCTTCCAGGAATTCGCTTTTGCCCTTTTAACAACCCAAAGCTGATATTTTACCCCGGACATTTCGTTGCGGAAAAAAAGGCAAATTATCTGCCCTTTGAAGTTTTGTCAGGGGAGATGGTTGCCTTGAAAATTAAATGTTTGCTTAAAACAATGCGTGAGCTCCACAAGGATAAGTGGGCAAAAACATTAACTTTACCGGGTTAGGTGTAACATCAAATACATTTTCACCATAGAGGCCCAGAGTAATCAGCGTAACATAAGAGTGTTGTATATATTCGTTCCCACGACAGTCGGGTCTACGTAACCGGAACGACCCAGACTTATATCTGGCCAAGGACTGTCACTCCAGCAACACTCCCCAAAAACCCTTTGGGGAACTTGTATGCTGCTACAACAACAACAACAACAACAAGTGTTGTATATTAAGAAAACAAGCAATTTTCGTATTGCGTTTTTCCTAAGGTGCTGCAGAACCTCCTGAAACTATGTAGAAGCCATGGATTTTTTGCCACTAACACAATAGAACGGAGTTTTCACCCTCAGCACGTTTCGTCAGACTACAAATTATAAGGTTGTCGTTTTACTATTTGCGGCTTAACGCTATAGTTATCGTAGCCAAGTTAAAACAAAGCGACCACCTATATGCAGACATCTTTTTGCTGTCAATCCCAGACCCTCCTCCTTACTTCTAATTAAGCTGTTGTTATCCAAATACAATCTTCAGTGATTGAATCTCAAAAAAATGTTTTTGAAAAACGTGACGCTAAATTTTCGTCTTCAAAATTTTTTGAACGGAAATTAGGGGCGCCTAAAGGCTGGAAACACTGTAAAAACTTGCTGATTTCTCACTGAAATTTTGGCTTTCGCTTTTTGCTTGTTTTTTGAGACAAACCAACCTATTACTAATGACAAAGCTCATCGCATGACTATTGTCTTGACTACTGCACCTAAAACTATGCCTACAATCACTGTTATTTATATGTATTGCCCTGAATCTGAAAACTACGAAAAAATGTTTACATTCTGCGTGAAAGTTTAAGGCAAAGTAACTATTTAGTAAAAACAGTAGTTAAGCGATGAGCTTTTTCATAGGCGTGGGAATAGCGCTGAAAAGTTTAAGCTCGTCTCGAAAATTTCTTAAAATGAGGCTTGACTATAGGTAGTCGATCGTTTAATAGCCTAATAATGTAGCCGAACTCTGAGTCACATTCGCAGGTGGAATGAGAATTTCGTTTGCATAATTTTTATGCGCTAAGGAAAATCAGAAAGCAAACAAATGTGAGACAGGAATAATTTTGCTTTGGCTCTTGTATCATGCTACAAATAAGGATCTCAAATATACGAACGGAAATAAAATTTTTTATTGTGTTAATTTTGCTTTATTTGTTCTTTTATATTTTTCTTGATTTCTGGATATTGATGTATTATTTAGTGGTAAATGCATAAACATATGTAAATACTTAAATTTATATGTGAAAAGGCATGCCTTAAAAATATAGTTGAAATTTCGTTAACTACAAAATTCTTTCATACAACTGTACCACCAAATAAATATAACTAACTACTCACCGCCGCTATATCAAGTTTTGATACATTCATCATAACTACTTAACTTATAAAACTAAATATGATTATACTGAGTGTGTTGAAGCTGCAAAAAAAAACAATGCAAAAATGGTTAAATTAATTTTTCCTCTATCTTTGTACTTTCTCCTTTTCAACTTTAATTAATTTATGGAAACACTTCATAAAATACCAAAACCCATAAATGACTACCAAACAAATAAAACCAACTACACTAACATAAAAAAATAATAAAAAAACAAAACCTAATTATAAACTTCGCACCTCGTAATTATGTATGAAAAATGCGTTCATTTACATCACTCACTCCCCTCAGCTACGCAAAGAAGACGAGGAAAATGACATTGCCAATGATTGGAAATTCGCAGCTATGGTCGTTGACAGACTGTGCCTTATCATATTCACAATGTTCACAATATTAGCCACAATAGCTGTACTACTATCAGCACCACATATTATTGTCTCGTAGCCATATGAGCGAGGTTATTGTTATTGGTTTTATTATAAAATCAATTTGTTAATTATTAAATTAATAACGAAACTTTTTAAGTAAACTTTAAAATTTAAAACCAAAAAAAAAACGTAAAAAAATTAAACACAAAAACAAACGGCAAACGCAAACTAAAACACAAACCCAAAAAGACGCACACCACACGAATGACTACACACTAAAACCGACACTGAAAGAAACATACAAAAAACAAAAAGCAATTTCGTACGCGAATGCACGAACCAATGTGAGACTTCAAACAAACGCACACGGAAACAAATACACACCTAAAGGCAAGAGTGAATTTCGGTAAGTAAATTAAAAAAAAAACACAAACGAAGAAATTCGCACCAAAATTACGCAAAATTTGCAACAAAAAAAACATAAATAACCGGAAAATCTAAATTCGCTGCAGTACTCTTCAAAAAAGAAAACCCATAGAAAAACTCACTCTGCTCACTAACAACAATCAATCGATCAATCACAAAACAAACAGATTTGCTAAACATAACCACAAATAAACTTGAAAAAAAAATTGCAAAATCTAAATAAAAACTGCTTAAACTATTAAACGAGTTTAAACACAGCTAAAAAAAATCGTAAAACCACTTAAAAACAAAAATAAAACATTAAAATCGTAACACTTTAAAAAACCAAATATTAAAGATACTTTAGTTAAAATGTTAGTAAACAAAAAACAACTTTTTCTCTTCCTAAACCGAAAATTTAGCGCATAATAAATTTTTTAATTAAAAGTATATTTGAAAAAAAAACATAAATTTCTAAACTAATTTCTGTAACTGGATAGATACCCAAAAAAAAGATCAATAAGTTAAGCAGCAGTTTGGAAATCTAGAAAACTAAGAGAAATAAACTCGAAATCTATAGAAGAAAATAGTAGCCCATATTAGTTGCCCAAAAACCCATCAAACTCTCACAAATTTTCCATATATATTAAAGCTTTTAAGTTTTTTATATATCGAAACAAACTAATTGTACATAATTTGCAACTTTTAAATTTAAAGCAGTTTTAATTTGAAATTTTAAAATTAAAAAAGAAATTTTCTTCGACACTTTTAAATTAAAAAAAAATATATATATTATTTCATAAATTTACTACTCATAAGAACTCCGTATAATGTCTTTTGAAAGCGGTACGTATTATTCGTTTAGAAAGCTGTACTAATCATAAATCAACTCATTTCACCCAATGTATGAATATATTTTCAAAAGTTGGAGATAATAAAAGCTCACAAATAAAAGCAGTGAAAGCTTTCAAACAAAGGCAGTGAAAGATTAAAAAAATTGTGAAAGCTCATCTAGAGTAAAAGATAGTTCACCAGGAAAAAGTTAAAGCTCACTTAATGCAAGCTAAAGAAGTTACTAGAATTGAAAACTGAAAACTAAAACTTGTGTAATGCAAGTAAACTCAAACCTAAAGCTTACAAAATCTTAGTGAAAGCTCACAAAATTTTATTTATTGAATTATTTATGAATAAACTTAACACAACTTTCAACGCAAGTAAAAGCTTTAAAGCAGACATGTTTTAAGCTGAGTTAACTCACCCAGATGAAAACCCTAAAGCAAATGCTTTGAAAATGCGCCTAATGAAAATAAACATGCAAAAATTTAGATGATCTTTAGCTTTGATACTTCTTGGTGGTCCGCAGCGCATTAATTGCCAATTAATGATAACGACAACGCGAGTTTCTATGCAAAAAAAATTAAAAGGCTAATCTCCATTACAGTGAACATCGAAAGCTTTGCAAAAGCTCTCAGCGAAATGTAAGGAAATATTTCAAAAAATTATCGTTATTTGGAAATACAGCTGTAGAAGAGTTTCATTTCACAAATACGTGAAAGCACGGTAACACTAATGAAAAATATTCGTAACTTGTTTCGACCTTAAAAAAATTAATGGCATAAAATTTTGTTTGGCTCGAGTACAAAAACAATCAGCCACGGAGCTTTCACCTGAGCATCAGTACTCAATATAAAAAATAGCCGTCACTTGGTTTGAGGTTTAAAAACATTAACGTCGTACGATTTCGTTTAGCTCGAGTACAGAAACAATCTGCCACGGAGCTTTCACCTGAGCTTTCGTTGTATTTTACACAAAACAACTCATATTTAAATAGCTGACCAGAACGCCAAGCATTATTCCAAATTTTCTGAATAATGTTCTTTTAGCTATCGGTCTTAAGAATTATTTATCAAATCGTCGGAATAATTTTTGTTTCTGTTCTTTTTTTTATGTATGTTACCGCATAACTTTGGACCACGTTAACCGATTCCTATAATTATTTTTTTGAAGAAAAGGTGGCACCTTAAGGTTGTTCCCTTACTGGTTTAGATCCGAACATTGGATCTTGAAGAAATTAACGATCACCTTAAATTTTTATATGGGAATTGAAGTCGGTTTTGCTTTTCGCTTAAAAATTACTTGTTCCTTACAACAAATAAAAGCTCAAAATATTAGCAAAATGTGATTCCGATTTTGAACTTGCACTGTTGGTTATGATCTTTACTTAAAGCTTTTCAGCTTTTATTTGAGCTTTTCAGTTTTCAATTGAGCTTAACCTAATGTTTATGAAAAGCTTTTCGAAAACAAATAACTGTACAGTTTTCAAAGTTTTTCAGCAAATTACAGCCAAAAAAAATTTAATTTTTTATAAAAAATTTTTTAGTTTTTGCCCCCTCCAAATTTTTTAAAATACGGCATTGGTATACATTAGTTTAACCAAAGCTCTTCCCTATGCTAGAGAAAATATATAGAAAAAATTCAAGGTACCATAGAAAGTTCATGCTCGCTAACTCATTGTAAGCATACGAACAGTTTTAAAGCAAATAATAATCCTAGTACCTATTGAACACTTTTTAAAAGACGTCTTACCTTTCAATGTCAAAGTAAGGAGTACTCGTAAGTTAGTAATATGAAATATAAAATAAATAAAAGATGAAATCATAATGATTTCAAGCAAACTGCTTTTTGTACATAAATACATACTGGCATAAAGGTGCATAGACCAATTGAAAAGAGTTCATTTCATAGCTGCATACATACCTACATACATACTTACATAGTAAATAATTTAATAGAATTATTCAATAGAAATCATTACGAAAATAGGTAGTATAGAAATAGGATTAGAACGATAGGCAGACATACATTACAACTTAGGTTAGCAAAATGTAGCAGATTTGAAAGCAAAAAACAAAAACCTAAAAATACATTGATGTCGTTGCAGTTTGTAAAGCCATTATTTTTTAATTTTTTTTATTATAAATAAAAAAAAAAATAGTGAAAAAATTTTGAATTTTTATAAAAAATTATTAAAATTTAAAAATTTTTATTTTTTATATTTTGCTATTCCAAAAGGTTTCCATTAAGACAAAACAAATTAAACGCAAATTGTATGCAAATTATCGCACGCAAACAAATAAAGCAAAAAAACATATTCACTTAAAACCATTAATAAAAAGCCGTTAAAACTGCCACTTGTTTATAGTAATAATAATTAATTAATTAAGCGTGTAATTAAAAAAAAATTGCATGCGATATTTTGCATATCAATTACGGCAAAAACCCGCTTTAAATCCTTGAATTAAAATGAACCCCCCCCCCCCCCCCCCCAAAAAAAATACAACTAAACAAACGTACAAAACCAATATAAATAACCCAAAAGCTGGGAAAAGCGCAATGAACAAAAATACAAACGGAAATTAAGGAAACAAAAAAATATATAGCATGCGCGAGAATTTCGTATAAACAACAACAAAAAATATCAAACACCTCAAAAAGCTCATAAAAGCATACGACGCGTCACCATATGCGTATGTATGGTTTCGCTAGCGCGTGTGTGTGTGTGTGGGTCGCTCGTTAAGACCCCCTGAAGGAATATCTTTATATAGAAAAACTCATAAGTGGCATACACAACGAGAAATGGTTGCGAGCAATAATATTTGCGTGTTGATGTTGGCAAAAATGTATATCGAAATGAAATGCGTTATGATCGACCGATTTATTGTTTGGCTGCGGTTGGAAGCTGTGTATTTGGACATTAGCTACCAACTTGGCAGAGTAGGTGGTTGTAATTTCGACATGTTCTTGCTGTGTATAAGGCTACTGAGGTGATTGAAGTTTCCAATTTTTAGTAAAATTAATAAGTACGCTGACTTTGCTGTGAGTAGAATGAAATTCATAACTTACTACGATTCTCAAATTTAAAGAGTTAAATTTTTCTTATAAATATACCTACTATAAATAATTAAAACACAGAAAAATATAATTTTGTTTATAGGAATCAGTTGTGGTTTTTGCGGCTGTAAAAAATTGTTTCTGCCTTTTCTGTCGTTTTCACTTAATGTGAGTGAAAGCTCAAATACAAACATAGCGAAATCTCACTTATGCTGTCGAAAGTTCACTTAAGGTATGGAAAAGTTCAAAGACAAAGACAGTGAAAGCACAATGAATTCACATGAAATAACAATGAAATGAAAGTGAAAGCTCGCTCAATGCAAGTTAAAACTTACTTAAAGCATACTAAAGCCAAAAAAGCTAAGCCATTGAAAGCTCACTTAAGGCTTGCAGGAGCGATAAATAAATAAAGTCACAGCTTATATATTTATGCAATCAAAACCAATACATTGTCCGAAGATGATACTTTTCAAAGCTTTCCGTAGACTTTATCTGCACGCGCACAGATTAAAAGTTCGGTTTGATCGTCACTAAATTAAAGTGGAAGCTCAAAGGCTCTTAGTGTAAGAGAAAATTTAAAAAACCATGAGAGTGAAAGTTCACTTTATACAGTCAAAATCCCGAAATTAACACCAATAAAAGCTTACATAATGCAAGTGAACGCTTAACGCCATATATAGCGAAAATTTACTCAATAAAGATTAAAGCTTGAAACAAAGATAGTTATAGCTTGCTTAGTGCAGATAAAAGCTCAAAAGCTAAGGCGACTAAATCAGAGTTAAAGAAAGCCTGAGCTTAAAAACTATGCAAGTTTGGATCGCAGTAAGCTTTCATGATTAT